CTAATAACTATTTAAAAATATGATTATTCGACCAAAAATTTTATATAAAAAATGTATATGTTCAAGGGTAGCCACGGCTTAGCCTATGAACAAAAAACATGAATAAGAAAAAATATATATAGTATGACTATCTGGATTTAAAAAAAAAACCATTTTAGTTGAAGAAGAATATAAAAATTATATATATATATAAAAAAAAAGACATTTATTTTTAAAAGATAAAATTGAAGGATCGTTATATAAAATGTAAATTTACTTTTGTGGGTGGCGTTTAATTACCTAATGTCTAAAAGAAGGATATATATATAAAGTTCCAAAAAGAAGGTAATAAACATTTAATAAACATAATGAATCTTCTAAATAATAAAAAAAATAATATTGAAGAGAGAATTTTTCTTAAATAACGTATTCGGTTAACATTTTACTCCAACACGAGTAGCATTACCGTTCATTCCAAGCATAGAAGAATCACCGTCAATATCAACACCACCATTATTGCCATCATCACTTCCCATTGTAGGAATGTTCATACCAGGAACATTATCTTGTTGTGGATGATGATGATTTTGTTGTGATGATAAAGGCATATTGGATATTTGCATACCCATTGCACCTCTACTAAATATATTGTTCGTTGAATTTACTACAGGTGAAACAACACTGCCAGCAGGAATCATTGACGAGGGATTTTCGGAAGTTGGAGTAGTTGGAACAAAATATATTTGATGATGTGGGCCCATAACGTGTTGTTGCTGTGATGGTTGCGGATGATGTCCAATGGGAATAGCGGTCAAACCCCCATTAGGTATAACTCCGTAATTAATTGGCATAGGTGCAACTCGTTGATGACCGAATCCCATTGTGGTTGGACCAAATGGGTTACCATGCGGATGATGATGATGATGAAATCTCTTTCCTTGTCTCATCTCCATCTCAACTCTCATTTCTAATAAACCGGCACGTTCTTTTAAATTACGATTCCTTCTTTCCAAATATTTTATATAATCTACAGCCTTAAATAAAATAGTACTTTTTGAATTATTAACATTTTTAAGGGTGGGTATAATGTCTGTTAATTCTTTAAAACCTGCTCTAATTGTATTTCTACGTTTTTGTTCCGAAGCAATATGATTTGCTCTTTTTTCTTCTTCCGTAAGAAGTTCTTTATATGGTTTTCTGCTCGACTTTTGTGGTGTTTGTTTTGTTGACGAAGATTCCGTTTTAATATCCGCAGATGAGAATTCGTCATTCAAATTGTCCATATTTGAAGTGTTTGCGGAAGTAGCATTCACTAATTCGTCGTCATCATCATCATTCTTTGATTTAATGAGTTCCCTATTCGGGGTACTCGGTGATGGAGAGTTATTATTACTACTTGTTGGAGTATTGCCTGGGCTATCATCATAATTATTAAGATTATGATTATGATGACTATTATTGTGATCGAGATTATTATTGTTGTTATTATTGCCGTTATTGTTAATAGAAAGATTTGATAATTGCATTGACGGTGACATTGGTCTTGAAGAGTTATTACTATTTGATTGAGTCATTGGAAGTTTAGTATTAATTGGATTCAACCTCGGATTTGAAGTTCTACGTCTAACACGTTCATCATCATGTTCTGATTTACGTTTAGACGGGACGGTCGGTGTTGATGGTCCATCCGGATTTCCTCCCTCCGAGGATATATCATCACCAACACCACCATCACCATTACTAATGTTATTATGATTATGAGAATTGTTACGCGAAGGAAGAGGGGGGGAAGAAGAAAGTGTAATGTTTGATGTACGTGGTGATAAACTAGTTGAATTTGAAGAAGAGAATTGTTGACGATTTAATAAATCTCCTGTGGGAGACGGTGACGATGACGTTTGACCTTGTGGTAAAATATAAACATTGTTATGTGATGATGATGAATCATGATTATCTGATGAATTTGGATAAATTGGCATATCCCCTGGCAACGAAGGATCAAATATAAAATTATCATTCTCATCGAGATTACCAAGGAAGTCGTGAAGCAAAAAGTGGGTATCTTCCGGATTAAAAAGTTGTTGATGACTGAAATCATCAGGCGTCGGTGCTAAAAATGGTGGGATTTCAGTTGGCCAATTATATTCAACAAATTCTATATATGAATGAAAACAACACACAAAAAGGAAATAAAAAAATAAAAAATAAAAAAAAAAATGGGTAATTTATTCAATTATTATTTATTTATTTTTTGATATAAAAGAAAATACGTTACCATCATAAGGCGGAGGTTCGGATATTGGAACAGAACTTTGCGTATGCATTCCGAATTGATCTGTTACAGTATGGTATCCATTTTCAGACATGTTTGAAAACTTTTGCGCTGGAGAGTTCAACTCTTGCTGTATAAAGCTTGAAGAAAGTAAATGAGGTGGCTCTCTATTATTTTGTGGAGTGGTATTGTTATTTTTTGAATAATACTCCGACATGGAAACCGTTTTCTATTTAAATATTATTTTTCTTTTGTGTATGATAGAAATAAAATAAAAATAAAAAAAAAGGTAACTAAACCTTTTTTCTTTGTTAAAGGGAAGAGGTCCTTAACCTTGAATGGTAATAAAAAAAAAAAAAAAACTAACAATGATATAATTTTTCTCTTGACAAAAAAAAAAGACGATTTTTTTAATTGTGAGAAGGAAAGAAAAAATGAGAGATAAAAAAAAAAAATTCAGAAAAGAAAAGTTATTTAAAAATTATTGTTTTTTTTCCTTCGAAAAATATATATACTACGATAAAAATACTGATAATAACCAAGGGGGAAAGAAAACTTGTGATACTATTTAAAATTTTCTGGGGGCAAAAAATTTGAATAAGTAACGTACAAAAAAAAAAAAAAAAAGTAAATGGAAAGTGGCAATTTTTTTTTTTTCTTGTGGGGATTTTTTTTTTATGATGTTCAATTATGATGACTATTGTGTTATTTTAAACTTTGATCATAATATTGTATATATATTTGTTAAGTTTGTTGAGCAGCTGATTACTGTTATAATAATAATAAATGATTTTGACTGTTCTATAATAAAATAAAAAAAAAATCTATTTTGAAAATTTTGAATTGCATTTTCGACTATTTATTTATATAAAAAAAATAAGGTCAATTTTTTTTTTTTTTCCAAAGTAACATATAAGCCTCCTAATAGTAATTTAAAAAAAAAAACTACAAAAACCGTTAATCGTGAAATGTTCAACTCGGAGTTGAAGTATCACTATTGTATTTAATTATTCTTTTTTTTTTTTTTTTTTTTAAATAATTTATATAAATTATTATCGGAATATCAAACTGACGATAAAATGTACCTTTCATATGCTTTTTTAACATCTTTTTAATTTGAATAAATGAGACTGTATTACTGCATCCCCGCATTCCTTTTCCTTTGTTAAAAAAAATTCTTTATTAACATGTGTCTTACCTATTCGGGCCAAAATGCAAGGGACTTATAATGCCTACCCTTGTAAATTTGTGAAAAAGTGAAAACCATTCTTTGCTTAATTTGGATTAATATAGTACATTACATTAATTACAAATAAGTAATAAAATCGGATTACCAAAATTCGCGATTTTTTTTTTTTTTTTTTATATGGGAAAAAAAAATACTACTTAAAGGAAGTTTCATTTTTTCTTTTGGGTGAACTTATCAAATCAATTCGACAAGTCTTTTAACGAGTTTTTCCCATCCCAACTTTCTTTAAAAAAAGAAGTCAATTGCAATTTAGGTAGATCAAGAAAACAAATGATTAACTGAAATTTGGTTATAAATTCTCTTATCAATTATTATAAATATATATGCATTATTATCCATTTTTATTTTTAATCATTTCACTATCTTTTTAATCTTTAATCTTTATCTTTTCGATCTTGATCAGTTTTTTTACGTTCACATTTTTTGATATCATTTATTTATTTCTTTAAATGGTGATTCATTAAATCCATAACTAACTTAATTTGTTTCTATTAAAATTAGATCTAGTACATTCATTTAAATTAAGACTGAACATTCCTGGATGATCTAACAATGAATTCGTAACATGTACCTTTGTGTAAAAGAACTTGGAAGCTTGGAACTGAATATTCTTTGCTGGATAAAATAAATTTACTTAATCATCATTTATGCATGTTTGATCACCGTGGTGTTGTAAATATTGACAGTAGCGAATATCAAAGAATAAAACGTAACGGGTATAGATGTGACCGTTCTGTTATTTCTTGAGATAAAAAAAAACGTCCGATAATATACGACAAAAAAATCTAAAGGAGTGGGTATTATATTATTATTTACAAAGGTTGTATTATACGGCAGTAACTGCAACGCATTAACAGATAAAAAAAAAGACACAAACATGTATGCAATGCATATTTGTATACACCACTATTAAACAAAAAAAAAAAAAAAAAAAACACCAGGATATTTTTTTCATTAACAGTTATAAATTCGGTAATGCACGGGCTTTACATGGATTTTTTGAAACTCATTTGAAAAGAGATACTTACTTAGGTGCGATAGGTTGATAGGAGGTCGGGCCGTCAATTCGAAAGGAGAGAAAAAAGAAAATAAAATTCGCAACGATCTCCATTCATTGACCTTACACATGAAGATTTAAAATGAATTATTTTAATTGCTAAATGCTAAAGAAATTTATTTTTATGGGATCTACAAAATTTGTGTGTATGTTGTATTATTTAAAATAAAAAATTTTTTTTAAACTTTTTTGTTCCGCTTCGGATTAATGCGGACTTGATTTAGGATTTACCATTTAATTAACGTGAGAGGAGATGACATAATGTCAAACTGTATATTCGGTATATCTAAATTACAAATTCCACATGCTATCATGTGATTGTTCCAATTTAGGTAAGAATTAGATTATATCAAATGGGTTGTTCAACTGATCTACTATCAATTGAATTCAATTTATACATAACCTACTTTTTTATATTAAATGTTACTACGTGCGTTCGTATATCTCGACGAAAGAAGATCAATGAAACCCTTCGAATCACATGAAAATAAGATACCTTATCTTTTAGAAAATTCGAAACTCGCAATTCTCTTGAGGATTAATGTAAGAAAAATAATAATCAAGTAAAACCCATTTCCTTTGATAGTTTTACCTGAAAAAGTAAAAAAGAATGAAGAAAAAAAAAGGAAAGCCCCCCAAATTGAATCGGAAATTGTATCCGAATATTAAATGATGGAAAAAACGGATGTCCCCGAGACTCGGGCATCAGTCTCGATGCGTTGTAAAATAAGTAACTGATTTCTCTTTCGTTGTAATGATTACGTAATAATTTCATTGTAAAATTAGTTTCTTTTCTTTTGGAATTTTGTTTAATAATAATAATTATTTA